CTGGAGCCATTTTCAAGAATGCAGCCTTCGAGAGCAACGTGCTGTTAAGACCATCCAGTCAGTATATGTGACTGAACCCAGTTCAGGCCTCTATATAAACTTTTAAAATTCCTGTGGGCAGGTAAGGAGATTTACTCATCTTACAGCTGCCCAAGATAAGCCCAAGATAAGTAAGTTCCCTTGCTTATTAAGGCTGCCACCCACCAATCTGGAGTGGTGTTCCTCTTTCTCCTTGCCTTCTGAGTACAGGGACTAGTTTTGCAAATCAACAAAGTAATATGACAAAGTAAAATCTTTTGAAATGTGTTCCCAAAAATATTCCCTTTAGTTATCAAGATTTTTAGTGACATGCCCATTAGCTTTTTGTTCTGATTCTTAAATGAAGTTCTTTTTTCCTTTTATTCCAGTATAGTACAGATCATGATTCCGATTGTGTTCTTTGAGAGCTACCAAAGGGTTGACTATACACATTGTTATCAGCAGACATTGGGGCAACACCTAAGGAGGAGGTGGCATAATTTTCAAGGAGTAAGGACACTTCGTGGAGGTTATTGGAAGATGTTGGCAGCATTGGCTGTATAGTTTTTCAATATCTCCAAACCAGAAAAACAGAGCAACTAGAGAGCAAAAGCAAAATGGGTAGATAATGTTTTCAGCAAATCTAGGTTACTAGGAACACCTATGTGGCTCATTCAGTTAAGCATCTGCCTTTGGCTCAGGTCATGATCCCAGGGTCCTGGGATTGGTCCTACACGGGGTTCCTTGCTCAGCATGGAAACTGCTTCTCCCTCTGCCTGCCACTCGCCCTGTTTGTATTCTCTCTCTGTCTCTGTCTCTGACAAATACAATCTTTAAAAAAACTCTAGGTTACAAGACATCCCTTAAAACCCCCAAATTCAAGTAAATGAAATTCAAGTAAATGAAGATAAATCACCAATAGTCATATTACCTACATGGTAAGTGTCTGTGCAGGAGGAGAAATAAGTGATGGAACAGCATCTGACTAACTTGGTAATAGAACCACAAACTAACTCAGCAAAAAGCAGCAGAGACTCACAGGGTTTTTGCACTTTTCATATCAGGTGAGTGCAAGGGGCCCAGCTCACAAGGCACTAAAGATGGGGTACCTGTGTGGCTCAGTCGGTTAAGCATCTGCCTTGGCTCACTCAGGTCATGACCCCAGCGTCCTGGGATTGAGCCCCATGTCGGGAAATCCTGCCCAGTGGGGAGCCTGCTTCTCCATTTCCTCCTTGCTTGTGCTCTATCTCTGCTTGTCTCTCCCTCTCAAGTAAATAAAATCTTCTTTCAAAAAAAAGAGGCACTAAAGGTGCTAGAAGCATGTGAACTCTCAAAATGGACACTCAGGTCTCTCTTGACAGGAGCCCACAATTATCAGAAACTGCTGGGGGTGGAATCACAATTCAATAGGAAATGAACAAGAGAGATTAAGGAAATGAGAAGGTTTAAAACTGTGCTGTACACAGATGTCCACACTTGCAACTATTTTGAATACTTGAAATGTGGCTGTCAGAATGGAGATATACTGAAAGTGTAAATTACATACCAGCTTTTGAAGATTTAGTAAGAAAATAAAATCTCAATAATTTTTATACATGTTGAAATAATATTTTGTATAGATGGAATTAAGTAGACTATTAATGTCATGTGTATCTTTACACATTTTTTAATTTTGCTAGTAGAAAATGGTAAATTACATGTGTGGCTAGCATTCTATTTCTACCGGACAGAACTCCCTATTACTGAAGTTTGATATGCCTTTTACACATCTCAAATGGAAAAGCCAGTTATGCAGCTGGATATACATGACTGGAGTACAAGAGAATTGGTGGGAATATACAATATTTTGATTTACCAGCTTAAAATAATATTTGAACACATGAGACTAGATGGGATCTCCTAGGAAGTAAATGTGTAGAGATAAAAAAAGGGGAAAAAAACAAGGCCTTGGATATTCTAATAATTAGAGGTGTGGAAAATGAGAGAAGTCTAGGAGAACGTGGGGTGAACACAAAGAGAACACTCTTTAAAGACTAAGGAAGAACTTGTATCAAAGAAAAGAGTGATCAATAGTGTCAGATGGTGCCAAAAGGTCAAGTAATAGGAAATCTAAGAATTATCATTTACCAGGTATCTGGGTGTCTCAGTTGGTTAAGCATCTGCCTTTGGCTCAGGTCGTGATCTGGGGTCCTGGGACTTATCCCCTTGCTGATCCCAGGGCGATCTCCCCAGTGATCTCCGTTGATCCCCACATGCCGATTCCTGAGCACAAATCTCCCCCCACCCCAGGCGCACCACCCCAGGATCCCCCAGGAACACAATTTCCACGTGGGGCTCCCTGCTAGGCAGGAAACCTGCTTCTACTTGTCCCTCTGCCCTCCCTGCCACATTCCCCTCATGCGCACATGCATTCTCTCTTTCCCTCAAAGAAAGTCTTTTTAAAAAATTATCCTTTACGTTCTGCAGTATAGAGGTCTACTGTGTGATGGCATTTGATACCTCCATAAAGATGGAGTATTAGAAGGACCTCTGGACTCAGGGAAACAAACTGAGGGTTTCAGAAGGGGGGTGGGGGATGGTGTAATTGGGTGATGGGTATTAAGGAGGGGATGTGTTGTGAAGAGCCTTGGGTGTTATAGGCAACTAATGAATCATTAAACATTACATCAAAAACTAATGATGTCATGTATTTTGGCTAACTGAACTTAATAAAAAAAAAGAGTTCATTTAACTTCATTTAAAATCCAAAAAAAGTTCATTTAAAATCCCAAAAAAAGTTCATTTAAAATCCAAAAAAAAAAAAAAAGACCAAAGATTACAAGAAGGAAGAAGAGCCTATGGTCTAGAGGGGCTATACAAATTTTGGTATCATGGGCTTGGGCTAAGGACATTGGATTAAGGTCCACTCTCAAGCACATCAAATGCCCAGTTATCTACTAAGACACTAGCATGCAGAATGGTAGTGGGATCTCTGATTTAGCCCACTAAATGCTGGCTCAGTGCAAGAAGGAATCAGGCTTAGTACCTGAACTAATGCTTCCCCCAATGTCTGAGATAACTGGGGACGTTTTGTGGTCAAAGACACCACCAGGGACAAGGTATGGCTTCCTAAATAATGTATCCTTGGGTGTCTCTAGTTCTCTGGAGCTGGTCTCGAGAGGTAATTATATATACAGGTCACTAACATTTTCAGTGGCTAAAGTACAAATTAAGGCCTTTGGCCCGTGTCCTTGATCTCTTCCCATTGCCAGCTATTTCACGCCAAGAAGTGTCTTATACCCAACCCTGAGAACACCTCAGCCTACACCATCGAGCTTTGTATATCCTTCGTTTTTACAGTGGCCTCCTGGCAACATTTCAGACCTAACAGGATGTATTCCACAGGCCCAGACCTCCCTTCCTTAGGAGAATAGGGACTTACAGAATCTAGAAGCAGCCTTGGGGAATGAGGGAACCTAAAATATTTTCTACAGGGTCACCTGGGTTTCTCAGTTAAGCATCTATCTGCCCTCGACTCAGGTCATGATCCCAGGGTCCTAGGATCGAGCCGCCTGCTCATCCGGAAACCTGCTTCTCCCTTTACCCTTCTACCTGCTTGTTTTCTCTAATAAATAAATAAAATCTTTAAAAATATAAAATATTTTCTATAAAAATTGCAGGGTGTTGGGACCTGCTGGGCACATACCATTGTCCCCGTGGATTCCTAGCTCTGTAGTCTGAATATAGACTAGACAGTAACCTCTAAAATGTGGGGCCCAGGAGGAAGGCCCTACGTGGCCAAGTCTATGCCAGAATCAGCCATATATCAGAAAAGCAAAGAGAGGAGGAATATGGCAAAGTAGGTAGAGGGGGGTCCTTACTGATTTTTTTCATTCCACTCCTTTACCGTGTTCTCCCATTGTGTTTCCACAACTTCCTAAAAAATAGCTGAATTTCATTATAGAACTAGCAATATATCAGTTTAAAATGTAGCACATAAAAGACCACACCATCAGTTATTCCAAAAAACGTATACATCCTGTTCACAGAATGGTAGTGCATGTCCATCCAGTTCTCTCCTAATATATCTATACACACACACACACACACACACACCCCCCATACCCCCTTACATACCTGCTTACAAAGTTAGTCACAATTATTTTTTTAAATGAGATTCTCCATTAACACATTTTTTTCCACTAAAAATCTAACCATTTTTGTATCATTAAACTTGAATCACCCTCCCAGAACTTTCTCTCCCCCACACAGATCTCAGGAGTCCCTTTTCCCAATACACAAATTTTTTCCTTCTCTAGAAACTGAGACCTTTCCCCTTTGTACTCCGGAATCCTGTTTTTCTCCTTCTGGGAAGTATTCCCCCCAACACACACACATACAGTCATATTCTCTTTACACACACACACACACACACACACACACAGAGTCATGCTCTCTTTCCTGACCCTGAATATCTGCTTCATCCCTCCTTAGGCTGAACCCTGCTGCCTTTTCTTGACTAAATTTGCAAATCACCTATGGTAAGAGGGTATATACCATATAAATGGGAATTTCCTGGACAAAACTGCATTTTAGACAGTAGAAATAAATGACTATAGGAATAGCACTTTATTCCCTCTCTCTTCCCAAGACCTCAGCTAGCATGCTAACAACTTTCTTTAATCCTCTAAATCAGATGTAGGATTAATGGTTTTTTAGACAATAAAAAACTACATCTTAAAAATGAAGTTAACATTTCTATTTTATTCATTCAAAAATTTCATTATACAAAGGTAACATGGAAAAGAGAAATCTCAACACAGGGGCAAAGGCAGGCCTTTTTCAGAAAAATGTGGGCCTGGAATCAGGGGCCAATAGCAAGTAAGTGCTAGGTAGTAAAGTTATGGGGAAAAGAGGCTTTAAAACTGCCTTTTCAAACAACAGCATCAAAATTTCTCATTACGCTGGTTAATAGTTAGAGCACTTGTAAACCTCCCAGGTTAACTGCAGAGCAGTCACCCCCTTTCAGGTCAATGGGTGCATGGTAATTCCTTTTGTGGTTGTCACACCACTGGAGGTATAGGGGAGGAAGGCATGCTCCCTGTTTCAGCCTCCTCTCCTGGAGAGAGAGGGCTCAGGGCATCAAGCTCTGGCAGCAAAGCACGCCTCAGGCTCGCAGGACTAGGAGTGGAGATGGAGCCCAAACCACTAAACTTAGGGGAAGAAGTGCCCTGGCCAGAAAAATTAGTGGAGGAAGAGTAGGAAGAAGAGGAAGAAGAAGAGGAAGAGGAAGAAGAGGAGGAGGAGGAGGAAGAGGAGGGGCTCTGGCCAGGAGACCTGGAGGAGGAGGCAGAAGAGGAAGAGGAGGAGCTTTCACCACACAGCTGTTCAGGGAAAGGAAAGAGCCTACCAGGAGGAGAGGGAGATGAGGCACGCATACGGACTGCATGCCAACGGGGCTGGGCATCAACGCTTGGGACCTCAGGATTAGGAGAACTTGAGCTGCTCTGGCAGACCAGCCTTCGTAAGGCTACCCCAGGGGAAGAAGGAGGACTCAGGCTAGTAGGCACAGGTAGAGAGGCCCGGCTTCTAGGGGATGACCTTTCGATGGTGCGGCTCCGGAGGACAAAGCCCGAAGTCGAGCAGCCATTGCGAAGGGCAGGGGCTATCCGGTTGGCTCGGCTTCGGAGATCAGGGCCTGACCCCAATGCACGGCTGCGGAGAGCAGGGCCTGGGCTGGCGTGGTTATTGAGAGCAGGGCCTGGCCCAGATGCACGGCGACTGGAAGCACGGTTGTGGTAAGCAGGACCCGGAGCAGCTGCACCGTTGCGGTAAGCAGGACCCGGCGCGGATGCATGGCTGCGGAGAGCTGGGCCCGGCGCGGAAGCACGGCGGCGGCTGCGGAGAGCTGGGCCCGGCGCGGAAGCACCGCGGCGGCTGCGGAGAGCTGGGCCCGGCGCGGAAGCACCGCGGCGGCTGCGGAGAGCTGGGCCCGGCGCGGAAGCACGGCGGCGGCTGCGGAGAGCTGGGCCCGACGCAGGCATATGGCGGCGAGGGACAGCAGGGCCTGGCGCAGATGTACGGCGACGCTGGAGAGCAGGGCCTGACCCGGAAGCACTGGGGCGATGAGCAGGGCCTGGCGCGGGTACACCACGGCGACGAGAAGGGCCTGGTGCCGATGTACGGCTGCGAAGAGCAGAGACCAACCCGGAAGCATGACCACTGAAGGCAGTGCCTAGCGGGGTGGCATGGCTGTTGAGGGCGAGGCCTGGCCTGGCTGCTTGACTGCGGAGAGCTGGGCCTGGTGCTCGGGCCCGACTTCGGAGGGCAGGGCCTGGCTGGGCTGCCTGACCCCACGGAGAATCCCGAGAACGGCGACGGCCGCTGGGCTGAGACCCCGGAGAAGATGGCGGCGAAGGCACAGGGCACTGAGGCACAAGAAGCCTAGGAAACAGACAGCGACGCCCTGGAGGCTTCTGAACCTGGGCAGTCTCCTTGCGGCCGAGCTGCTTCCTCCCACGGCCTTTCCCCAGGCTCGTGGGCAGGGTCGGAGGCCCGTTGGCCTGGCCAACTCCCCTCGTGGCTTGCACCACCGCGCCCACGCCACCTGTGTGTGAGGCCTGGAGACCTTGGCCCGCTCCGGGCACCACACATCTCAGCTCAGCGTGGGGACTGCGGCCGCCCTGGAGGTCGGCACGCTCGCTCGCCTGCACACGGTCTGTGGAGGGCAGCCCCGGGCCCTCGCCATTGATCGAAATGGCGCCGACGGCAGCCAGGGCGGAGGCAGAGGAACCTGCTGTGCCGCTGTGTGGGGCGCCACCACCCGATGGAGAAAGACCGCTCGAGACCGAGGGGACGGAGGCACCAGGATCGGGGTTGCTGACCCTATGGGCGTCGCCAGGGGCAGAGGCGACCTCGTTCTTCGGCCCTACGGGCACCTCACCCCGCGGTTGCTTCTGCGCCTTCTTGTCGGACGATGGAGTGGCCATAATGCTAGATTCTCTCTCAGAGACGTGAGAGCGTGGCTGCAGACGCCGCCTGAGTAGAGCTCTGGGGCAAGGAGTGAGGAGGATGGGCGTACCCTGCTTGGATTTTCGCTTCTGATTGGTCAGTCAGTTGTCATGTGACTCTCGTCTTAAAGGGAGCGAGCCAACCTAGCTCCATTCGGCGCCAAACCAGACCGTGTGCTCTGCGCTTCTGGGGACCGCTGATGTTAGGTCCACGATGTGAATTCCCCCATCCATACCTGGGCCAGGCAGGGGCGGCGATGCTTTCTGTATAAACACTTTGAGTCACCCAAATCAGTTTAGCTTGTCAGCACCACTCTGGTGGTGAAACTTTCAAGCAGTGGCCTGAAAGAAATACCACACTGGCCAACAGGAGTTAACCGCTGAGCTGGGCATCCCTCCTGGAATCCCGACAGGACACGGCCTGTGTCTGACTCTGGAAGAGACCGTCCCAGAACTCCTCCCTGTTATCTGGATGACTCTGCACTGGAGTCTTGAAAGCTGCCTGAAATCAAGAAAATGGATGGGGCCCTTGCTGTCTTGGTTCAGGATTTCTGCACTGCTTTGTATCAGAGGGGGATTTTGAAGTAACATGCTTCCCCCTACCTCATCTCCTGAGGCATGGGCTAGCGTTGCCCTGAATTAAGGATAACACTGTCCTTAAATATACATCATCATTTGTATGGGCTGCATAGTAATCCACTGATGAATGTACATTAATTTGTTTGACCCAGTCTCCATTCTTGGCTATGGTTCTCTATTATGCTGTGATGCAGACTTAAAGTTTAATATTTGGATACTGTAATCATAATTATAAAAGTTATTATTACTGCATGCTCAGAACCCAAAACAGAAAAGCACATAGAACTTAACCTAGGAAAACTAGAACCTCAATTCCCACATACCCCTGGGGAAAAATATTAGAAATGTTTCATTCTTGGTAGAATGGCCATTAAATAATTCATAGTTCTGTTTCATAAAATGGAATTATTTATGCATACTACTATTTTGTAACCTGTGTTTTGGGTCTAGAAAACACACTTCCCATGTCAATAAATATGGTTCCACAAGGTCAGTGTAACTACAAAATATTCCTTTTATGGAGGAAGCTTACATTTTTAAACACTGCTCTATTGATCAACACGTTCCCAACTTTTTATAAACACATCAGTGTGAGGCATATCCTTTTTGCTAAAAATTATTCATAGTTTCAAATATAACCTCACTGTGGATAAGTTCCTAGAAAATTCTTAATACCGACCATGCACATCTGTAATCCTTTGATAAAAATATTGATAACTGATTTTCCTGAAAGTTGCTGTTATAGCAATTTTGGCAGAATGGAATGAGATACCTAGTGGGGTGGATAACGGGACTGAAACACAGCTCAAAATAGAATGGAATATGGTATTTGGAATGTTAAATAATGTGGAATGGAAAATGGATTTGAAAGGGAATGCAGAATGGGATGAAGTGGAGACTGATTGCAGTGGAGGTGAAATGGGAAATTGAAGGGGATGGAGACTGAATGAAATATAATGGGGAAAAAAAGGAGTGGAATGCACAACAGAAATAAATATAGCATATGGAATGAAAGAAAAATATATTGTTATATGAAAAATGGAATGGAGGGTGCCTGGGTGGCTCAGTCATTAAGTGGCTGCCTTCGGCTCAGGTCATGATCCCAGCATCCTGGGATCCAGGCCCACATTGGGCTCCCTGCTCAGCGGGAAGCCTGCTTCTCGCTCTCCTGCTCCCCCTGCTTATGTTCCCTCTCTCTGTGTGTGTCTCTCTGTCAAATAAGTAAAATCTTAAAAAAAAAAAAAAAAAGAAAAATGGAATGGAATATCGTGTGAAATAAAATAGCAAATCGAAGGAAATTCAAATTGAAATGGGAAAAACTACAATGGAACTTGTAAACTAAATGGAAAAACTAAATGGAAAAATATGCAATGGCTTGAAATGAATTGACTATGAAATACACATTATAAATTTTAAAATAACATTAAAAGATGGAATGAAATACAAAACACAAGATTATGAAAGATGGAATGGGAATTGAACCAAAACAATGTGGAAAATGAAATAGTGATGAAGGATGGATTTAAATGAAGAATAAATGAATAGAATATGTTCTGGTCATCTACCATTCTATATACTATATATAGTATAGTGTGGAGCAGCATCCATTAAATTATGTTCATGGCTTTTATAAAGCTGGAATTCAGAGAGGGTAGAGCAGTTCTGTTCTATGATGTCATTGTCTGAGGCCTCAGTTGAGAAAATGTAAATGTCTGAGATAATGAGGGAAGGACAGCAATCAATGATGACTCCCAGATTTTGGCCACAGTATCTGGGCAGACATTGGTGCTACCTCCTGAAAAGGGAAGGCTTGCAGATTAGGGACACAGTGGGAATTGGTGATCCCTGTTCTGATTATGTTGGCCACTATATCTTCTATACTTGTCCTAGTCATTTAGGGTTATGAACCCCAACTTATATTGAAGCCATTCTCTTAATTCTAGGTCACCTTTCACCAGTTTCATGGATCCAGTTTCCTCTTGGGAGTCATTTCAATTTACTCTCTAAGATATTTCCTTTCCTCCGTTATGGAATCTCAGGGCCTTAGTCATGATCCTTAACTTTTTTTTGTAAAGATTATTTATTTATTTGAGAGAGAGATAAAAAGAGCAGCAGAGGGAGAGCGAGAAGCAGACTCCCCACTGAGCAGGGAACCCGATTCAGGACTCAAACCCTGGGCCCCGGGATCATGACCTGAGTTGAAGGCAGGTGCTTAACCTACTGAGCCACCCAGTCATGATCCTTAACTTAGTAATAACTAAAATGCTTCCATCTATTCCTTGTTCTCTTTGAAGGATGTGTCTGTATATATACATATATATATATATATATATATATATATATATATATACACACACACACACACACAGTAAAAAAATACATATAAAGGAGTCATATACAGCAGACATAATAGATATATAATATATAGTATTTAGATATATAATATATATGCTATACATAACTATATATCTATTATATATGGTATGTATGAGATATATTTTATATATATATATATAAATTATATATATACAAATTATATAATGGAGACATATATAATCTTCTCTAAAGTTCTCAAACTTTATGCTAAGGAAGTCCCTAAGTTCCCTTTTAACCCCACTGGTGTGTCTTCAGTGCCTTCTCCTTTTTCTTTCCTTGTGCTCCTGTTTAGAGATAGTGTATGTGTATGTATGTGCACATAGAAAAAAAATAACTACAAGGATGAGTTTTAGTCTCTCATACTATATCTTCTGAATGTTTTCAGTGAGAATACATAACTCTTATACTCAGAAAAAAGTGCAGCTATTTGCGCTTTTAAAACAGTTTCAGGGCGCCTGGGTGGCTCAGTGGGTTAAGCCTCTGCCTTCTGCTCAGGTCATGATCTCAGGGTCCTGAGATTGAGCCCTGCATCAGGCTCTCTGCTTGGCAGGGAGCCTGATTACCCCCCTCTCTCTGACTGCCTCTCTGCCTACGTGTGATCTCTCTCTCTGTCAAATAAATAAATAAAATCTTCTAAAAAAAACAGTTTTAATATTTAATAAGGTTTTGAGCTGTTTGTAAAAAATCCATCTTTTATACTACTGGATGGTGTTATAAATTCATAACATTTTTGCCTGATGGAAAGGTTAATGATACATATAAAAAGTCTTAGGGGTGCCTGGATGGCTCAGTTGATTAACAAACTGAGTCTTGGTTTTAGCTCAGTTCATGATCTCAGGGTCATGGGATCAAGCCCCACCTTGGGCTCTGCACTCAGCAGAGTTTGCTTGAGGTTCTCATTCCCTCTGCCCCCTCCCCTACTCTCTCTCTCTCTAAAAACAAACAAAAAACACCCCCCCAAAAACGAAACAAAACAAAACCTTAGAGAATTAAAATTGACGCTGCAATTTCTCTTCTAGGGACTAATTCTGAGGAAATACTCATATACTCACAATGTTATATGCCCAAAGGTGATTATTATAGTGTCATTTATTTTAAATAATCTGAAACAATCTCACTTTCCAATAGGATATCGGATGTCCATAGAATAAACATGCAGCTTTTACAGGATGTTTTTGAAAAAAATTTTAGTACCATGGGACAATATCTATGATATACAAAAAGGACACGATGTACTCTATCTGCTGATCTATATTTACATCTGTGTATTTTTATATCTACCTAAGCTCTCTACATATATTAGAATTTTATTCACTGTAGTGCAGTTCTTAACCAGGGGCATTTTGCCCCTTAATGGGGGAGGGGAGAATTTTGAAAATGTTGAAGCGAGGGAGAAGTGCTCCTGGCATCTAGTATGCAGGTGCCAGGGATACTCCCAATTACTTCAGTGCATAGGAGAGCCTCTGACAACATGCAGTTGTCTGACGCAAAATGCCAAAGCTGTCAAGTTTGACAAAATCTGTCACAGAGCATTTAGATAACTCAGAAGAGTTCAAGATAAAATTTAAATCACAATCCTTCCAGTGATAACTATTCTTAAAAGTTTGATATATGTAGGTGTTAGATTTTCTATGATGATCTTGTGCTTTTTAAATAGCAGGTCTGTTTTTTGAAATTAATTCATTTAAAAAATTCAACAAGGGGCGCCTGGGTGGCTCAGTTGTTAAGCATCTGCCTTTGGCTCAGGTCATGATCCGAAGGTCCTGGGATTGAGCCCCAAATCAAGCACTCTGCTCGGGGGCGGTGGGGGGGGGAAGCGTGCTTCTCCCTCTCTCTCTGCTTCTGTTCCCTCTCTCACTGTGTCTCTCTCTGTCAAATAAACAAATAAAATCTCAAAAAAAATTCAACAAGCTACAGATTTTTTTTCACAAGAAATATTCTAGTCATTGCTTAAGAAATTATATAACTTAAGAATTTTAATTTCAACCCATTTACATGGAAGAATATTCTACACATAACAATTCATCATCAT